AACACCCATACAGCGAGTATTAGGAAGCCAAAGTAAGAATTTCTGAATTTATGCAACGCTTATTTAATTAGCCACCAAGAACAAATATATTGTGGACCATTCACCGGAGATAAGAAGTGATCAAAAGTGATGCGTGTTGTAAGTGGACTTCTACATGACGAGCTGAGGTGTTCTGTTTACTTTTGTTTTCTGCGACTTGTCTTTCTTTCACTGAAGCAATATTAATCATAATACTTATTTGAACTTACACACAACATTTTAAAGGGAAATCCATGCTAAAACGATTGGAGTTTTAAAAAATTCGGAAATCAGGAACTCAGTACGTTGTAAGCTTACGTACGACTTCCGTTTGGAACGGAAAAGCGGAAATTTCCTTACTAGTATATTTTTCAAAATTTTCCAGTTTCCAACCTCTGATCAGCCGAAAACAATTACGGGAAATCAAATAATTATAAATGCGTAAAGCGCCATCCCGGGAGCGCCATCTCGTTCGTCTGGTCCAGCTGATTGATTCCGACGCTGGACCCTACCCTGCTAGACCCTACCCTACTCTCCCCACCCCCGCCTCTCCCCCCACGTTCAAGAACTCGCGCGACGCGACGGCTGTGTTTATTTTCTGGGATCACCGTGAGTATGTTTCGTGGTCGTCTAGCATTCAGTGAACTTGTGTTGCAAGAAAATGTCTGCGAATCGTTTTAAAGTGTCAAAGGCTGATACTGATGGAACAAAAGAGACCAAGGAAACCTATAGACGAGTGAATCTGTCAACGGATATTCAAGTGAATATTATCGAGCCCTGTAAGTGCGCCGCTTTGCTGCGAGGGAATATTGAAAATGACCGTGACCACGTGTAGAAAAAATATTTTTCATTCTTTGTCACACATCAGTTGTTTGGTACTTTGTTCTTCACGTGGTGGTCTCGATTTTTTGCACTCGCTCTATGAGAAAGGTCGGCACAAACTTAGCACGAAGTTGCCTTTTTTCTCACGCTTGCAATCGCATAAGCTTAAGCTTTAGTATTAAACGATTTCCTATACGTCTTTTGTTTGTAGCGCCAGAGAGAAAAGCAAACAAACAAGGTAACTTTGTGGCTGGGAAAGCCGGGAATTTAGCATTATACGAGGTAAAGCTGGTATTATTACTTCAGATCTGTGGCCTCAGACTTGTTTTGGACGGTCTTTTATCGGCTCGCGCCATTGGTTTACTGTTCATTTTAATCCTCTTTCCGTGATTGTACTGCACACAGGATGAAATCCAAAAACGACCGAGAATTTCAACACTGTTGGAGAGTTTATCAAGATACGAAGCAGTCCTGTCTCCTCAACAAGATGACGAAGAAGGAGAGGCGAAAACTGCCAAATCTTCTCAGGTACGTGTATATAAAAAAGTACTTTATCGTCAGAACAAAGCAAAGTCGAGTTGTGTATTTATTCTGGTTATGCAAATATTAAGCTATGGCTTTGAAAATATCCTGAATTATTGATAGATTAACTTACTGTTTGATGGGTCAAAAGTTCGCGATGTTTAATATTTCGTGCAAACATATACAAACCCTTTGAAAGCATAAAGAAGGTCGTGTAATCTTGACCAAGCTTAGACTCAGCCATTGTCTCTGGGCATTGTCTCGCATTGCCGGATTAGTATTAACGTAGACAAAGCAGAGCTTTTTAGGGATTTAAGTTTTGTATGAATTTTAGATCAACAATGGTCCTACAAGCTTAATGACGTACGTACATGTGTATATGCCTTTGAATAATTATTCGTGGTGTACTTTCACAAATGTCATAGACCCTATTCATAAATGGCTGCCAATTTAAAATTCTTCTGTAAGCATTTGAATTAGCCCAAGTAACGTCGTTTGAGAGTAAAAATTCTTTTGAATTATCAACTCAAAAATGAGGTTAGTTGTGCAAATTTTAATACTTACAAAATAATTTTTAATTGGCAGGCATTTATGAATAGGGTCTATTATCTGTCAATACAATCATTATGATGGCATTCTGGCTCCC